CACAAAGTCCACCTCCATCTCACACAACACACACTATGACACCGACTGCAGGAGGAAAGCTGAGTCAGTGAATGTGTAAGCATCTCAGCACTGCAGGGGTCTCCACACCGCTGCTCCAGCACCTAGGGTTGCATTGGGGTAGATCCATGTGGCTTCTCCTTGGGGATGTCTTGCAGGAAGTGAGCCTTGCCAGCTGAAGCAGGGAACTCGCTAGGCAGCTGCACCCTGGTCTGACCATCACAAAGCAAGAGACCTGAGAACTAGAAAGGTGAGGCTCACTGAACCATTTATCCCTCCACCCTTCAATTAACCCCACATGTGTATATCGGTCAGGTTGGCAGAATAAACTACCTCAAAAAAGTTTGCAATTAGCACAAACCTAAACAATGTGAGCAGAATTCACAGGAAAATAATCTACTTTCCCCAAGGGATTATCGGACCATCAATTGATATCTATATTTCTCCAGGGACTATCAGACCCACACCTATTCATCTCATATCTAAATGGCCTTGCTTTTTTCCAGAATTAGAACATCCTTACTGATTAACTTTAAAAGGAATTTTTACTGCAAGGGAGGAGGCTGTTGCATTTTGGATTTTTAACAAGCTAAATCTTAATCTATGTTCTACTTCTAGCATTTTGATTAACAGTGGCGGGCTAACTCTTTCACCCTCTCTGTCACCATGAGACTATATACATGGAGATATCAAACACTAGACATCAGACAGTGAAGGGCAGTGATCCCTGAGAAAGGAAGAACAAGGGAAAGAGGAACATTTCCCCACCCCAGAATACTGACACAGGCATGGGGAAAGAAGACCGAGCCCAGCAGGGGTAGTACAGGGACATAAGGGTAGCTTGAGTTCCCAGAGCAGAATACCAGAGAAGAGAGTAGTACACACAGAGAGAACACCTGAGATCTGCAGAGGGTCCTCCTTGAATATTCAGTAGATTACTTTAAAATGTATGCATATGAAGAAACTCTCCAAGGAAAGAAGAGGGAACAAGGGCTGCTACTCATCCAGAGCTGAGGGGACCCACCTCCACCACCCAGCCTGGAAAGTTCAATAGTCCACAGCTCATAGAGTATGCAGAAAGGTCTTGCTTCAGTACTGGAGAATAATTCATTTTAGATGTAGCACTTCTCAAAGCCCACTTTACAAATCATAAAAGCAAGATCAGGTGACTCAGAGATATATTTCAACGAGAGATTATATGAATGGATTTGGGGCTCATATTTAATTCTAGCTCCAAGCCAAGAACAATGAGTTATTATGGTATGGCTCTGCTTCATGCTTGCCCTCATGAAGAGACCCCCGAAGAGATGGCTGCTATAGCAAGGTGTAGAGAAGAAATTGGATGGTGCCCAGCTATCAGAAAGAATAGTGTTTGGGATCTCAAAGGCTTGTCTTCAAACAAGGTGCCAGCTAAATCCACATGGAAGAAGCACACCAGCCTGTGTCTCACTGATTGTAAATAATAATGAAATCCAATTCTGCAGGAGTGAATGGCATCAAAGCTTGAATTGTGAACATCCAGTTTGTAGAAAGATATGAGTAGGGATGAGAGTGGAAGCCCCAAATCCATATGCAGGCTCCACACATGGATTAAGCCTCTGTGGAATCTCCTCTGATGATACCAGAGAGACATGAATAGCTTTGCGGTCAAAGACCATTGTCAAGTCCATGATGGCAGATGTAGTTAGGTTAAAATGTAATATCTGATCATTTGATCTCCCCTTGGGCCCAGTCCAAAGTTGTTTCCATTAAAAAGTAAAGTGAAGGGGAAATATTTATGGATTAAGCCTGAGGTGACTCCCCTCTGACCATAGACCAGGGATACTGTCATACACAGTGCATTGGAAAGTGATTTATTGCAGATGCAGTTAGGATAAAATTTAACAACTTATCATCTGAGCTCTCTTTGACCCATTTTTAATTTGTTCTAGTTTTTAATATTTTCTGCTTCTCATTCGAGATTTTCCTCTATTCTACGTTGTTATTGTTGTTAGTCTTTTTATGTTTTTTTTCTGTACATGGAATCCAGGATAGATAAATCTATAGGGACCATAACTGGATTCATATTTTCTTGGTAGGGGAGGTTGGAAGGAAATGCGTTGTTGATAACAATGAGGACAACTCTTCTTAATGTGACTGCACTATTGAATTGTATGATATGTGAATTATATGCCAATAGAGCTATTAAAAATCAAAATTCTTACGTATGTATTACATGACTCTCAGAAGAAGAGGAGTAGGCAAGAAAAGAAATAATATTAGAAGAAATAATGGCTGAAAACTCTCCAAATTTATGAGAAATATTCATCTACATTTATTAAAAGATAACAAATTCCAAGTAGAATAAGCCAAAGAGATCCATGTATAAGTGGACACATCATAATGTGTGGCTAATCAAATATGTATTATATTTATTATATATATAATATATATACATATATATTCCTTAACTTCTGGTATATTTCAATTTTGATAAACTGCACTTTTGACTGTTTTTTTATTTTTTACATCTTGCCAGTAGTAATGTGTACTATATAATATATTAAAATAAACTGTAAATTTATATGCAATGTTTACATCTCCTAAGGACAAATTAAGATCGGATTTTTCAAGATACTGACAATATATGGCAATCATAGTTTTAAAAATTAAGCTTTCAACTTATATCAGCACTGATTTAAAACAGAGTTGATTGAGTGGATTGCATCATAAGCTAGGGACTACCTATATAGGTATATGTGTGTATGGGTATGGATATGTGGCTCCCTCTGTGTGTACATCAGAGTGGTATCTTTTCACCATATTTATGCAATCTGTAGGCTGAGCAAATAATCTGAGAATTGACTGGTATAAGAATTGGAGAAAGGCTTATTAACAACCTACAATATGCAGATGCTGGAACACAATCTTGCTGTCAAACGTTAGAAGAATTTGAAGCACTTGATGATGAAAATCAATGCCCGTGGGTTTCAGTATGGATTACAAGTCAGTGTAAAACAGAAACAAAATCCCTCACAACTGGACCAAAATACACATCCTGCTAAATGGAGAGTAGACTGAAATTTTCAAGGATTTAATTTTGTTGCGTGGTCAAACTCTTGTCTTTTTTTTATTGGAAGATTCTCTTTTTTTTTCTTTTAAAAATAAACTCTTGTCTTTTTCTAAGAGAAATAATTACTCTGATTAGGTATAGAGGCAATGCTGGAGGTTTCAGTTAGGGGCTCTGGAAGGAAGCCACGACAAGATGGCTAGTGTGGCCAGGAAGATGGCTTTCTGCCACACAGGTGGGTCAGGGTATGAATGATTCCTGTGAGTCCAGAGGGATTCTGAGAGTTTTAGTCCAAGTATGCATGCAAGGAATTCTAGGAAATGTAGTTTAAAATGTTTGGTCTGAAAAGTGAGCCAATGAGGGGTTCAGGAAGGTATGCATACTGTTTCCACAGGATGGCGCCAGGTCTCTATTTTTGAGGTAGTGTTTCTGGAAAATGGTTCAATAATCTCATTCAGAGGCCTGTCTCTAGAAGCTTTTCTGTCTGAACTCAAGTCCCACTCAGTTGTGTAAGGGATTGCTCTGACCTCACTCTTTGGCCAAACAGCCTCCATTTGGGCCCCCCAGCTTGTCTCAATTTTACTTGGATCCACAATTGATGTCAAGAAATCAAATGATGCATTGCATTGGGAAAATCAGCTGTACAAAACTTTTTTTTT